TTCTAGAAATAGCTAAGAGACTACAGACAAATAAATGGCAAATATCTGCTTGAGAAAAACCAAGAATGATAAAACCCAGTGTTTTTCCTTTAAGGTGCAACATGGTATTTTAGTAATACAACTAAGCAGAAGGAGTAGACACTTTAAATATCTCTGTGAGTTCAACAAGGCTTCAAATATGCTTTCCTGACAAGTTAATTCCAATTTATTAATTATGTCTGTATCTTAATTGGCACTCATTGAAGTGAGTATAACTGACTGTGTCCACAGTTAGGCTTCTTTAAATTGTGTCATCACTGGGACTTCCATGGTCCTTGGGGTTACACAGACCTGAGCCCCTCTGAGAGCTTTTCCTGGGGTCTTGTGGGAAGATCCATCTACCCCTCCAGCTCCAGAGAGGAAAGGACAGTGATTTAGCCCCTGTCCTTCTTGCAAAGCACTGAGCTCTCTGCATTCAGTGATAGAATTGTTGGGCTTCTACCCTTCACCTGGCCCTCCATGAGAAGCTCCACTTACAAAACACAGCCACGGTCACATCACACATTTAAATGCATGATCAGCACCTGGGTTAAAGAAAAATCCATGTCCTTTCTGTGCCTCTAGCATTTTGTTGGACATCAGCCCCTTTGGTTAAGACTCAGTATGTTACAAGTGTTTAGTGATGCCTCCATGTAAAGAATGACACCATGAATTAAAAGGATGTAAAACAAAAAAAACCAACTATGAATAGTCAGTCACTTATGGTGCCCCTTCATCCTGGAGCAGTGGAAAAGTAATTCTTAGTGTTAGTTCTCACAGGAGTACTAAAAGTCCTTTTAGAACACAAGGAAAACACAACCAGTTTTCAGACAGACTTTCCAAAGCACAGAGTGAATCTTGGCATCAGTGAAACGTCTCACAAGAGGAGTGAGTGTTCCTGAGGACATAACTTCACCTAAATATTCTGGAAAGCATTTCAGGGTTTATTTTCTTATATTCATGGGAGGAAGGTTTCTTGGTTTGGAGTTTGGGGTAGGCAGGTGATTGTACTCTTTTTTCCCCCCCTTTATATATCTAACATTAATTTTACTGTAATTCAAACACACAACATCTGAAAAAAGGCACAGAGTTTATCAGTGAGGTACTGTCATCCCCCCAGTTTTGCAAGATTTGTTTGGATTTATGAGTGAGGCATTGTCTAGCCAAGAAACTACAGATACCAATTCAATCAGTTTAAAAACTGATACAGCAAAATCTTGGACTTTCATTTGAGTAGGAAGCAGCTGCACTGTGTCAAGATGTCACTGACCTTTGTTATTTGTTAGCAGTGTCTTGGCCAAGTCCTTACTTTCACAGCAGTGTCTAGGGAATGGCATGTGGGAGCATTTCTCACATGCTTCAGGGTAACTTCCAGTGCTTCCTCTACCCTACAATGAGCAAAGGGGCAGAATTTCCCTGGAGTGCCTGAGAAGAGCAAGTGCATTCTCACCAATGCATGTGGTAGGGAAATCATTCACTGAAGGGGCAACAGCACCATAAAGCACTGCAGCTGATTGTGCAATGTTCATAGAGAAGCCTCAAAAAAATAAAAAAAACCAAACCAACAAAAGCAACCAACCAAAAAAAAATTTATTGCAGTCCTTTGAAGCTGTGACCTTAGATAAATCATTGTTAACTTGAGGTAAAATATTAAACTGGGACAGCATGAGATTAGCATTCATTCAATCACATCAATATTGAGCTTGTTTCAATAGTCCAGTTTAAATCAGCATCACACAGACAAGTTCCAAAGTAATGTAAATTTACAGGTAGAAAAAGAACTGCCCATTTTCATAAAGAGCATATTGTTCAGCCTCATCTGCACATAATCCTGCACCAGGCGAACTGAAAGGGTATTTTTAGATTAGTTTATTTAGCTGGGGTATGTTAATTTTGTTAGCTGTGGTATTGTAACCATAAATCTATGGCCTGCATCTCATTTATTCTAGTGTGGGGTTTTTTTTTGCACTACTTGGCAATAAAAAGCAGTCCTGAAACAGGAAACAAGCACAGTTGAGGACAGTGGGATACCTCATGTGCTTACAGCCTTTCAGCACCTCTGAGAGCTGGATAAAAGTGCAAAGTGACACAGAGCAGAGCACCAGTGTGCTACACCCCATGTCCACACACGTGGGCCTGGCCTGCTGGGCCTCAGAGAAGAAACAGAGGATGGGTATAGCTGAAAGGGGGTGAACCGGGAAATTGTGCCAGGCTCAAAACTGTTCTCTCAGCTAAGTAACAACTCCTGGAAATGGAGGAAGAGAGGAATGAGACAAAGCATAATATATGGCATGTGACTCCTTCTATGTTTGAAAGGCAGGCCAGAGAAGGGACATGCTCATCTTTTGTACTAAATCCCACATCTCAGGCATATTTAGGTTGGCTTGAATGCCTTTCTGTGGAGGTCAGAAGACAAGTGTCCCATGGAGCTGTGGCTCAGCAGTCCTTGCATTCTCCGTAGGAAAACTTGATTTGTACAGTCCTAACTTTGCAGATGGGCCATGAGCACCTGGGATTCAATTTGTGTCCATGCTGTTGTAAAATCCTAAGAGCAAAAATTTGTCATTAGCAGGAACAGTTTGTGGTCATTCAATGGTAAAATGTCTTCAGTCAGGGCTACAAAAGTACCTGCACTCTCATGCTCAGGATAATGGGCAGACTGTCAAAAGGTTATGTCTTTGAAATTAAAAAAAAACAGGTTGTTATGAGACAGAGCTTGAAAAGATCATACTATACTCTGTGATCAAGCAACACATCAGGATATTTACATCTCCTTGGAGCAGACCGAAAAAGGAAACATAATTTTCACCAGCATTTCTGTCCGATCTATTTTTTCCCACCGCCTCCTGTGTACTGTAACAATGCATTTGGGAAAGTAGGTGTTCATCCCATACCTCCTGATCAAATTTTGTTTACTGCCTTCATTCCCAGACTTCAGATGAGTAATGGAGATGCCTCCAGCGGCCGTGAGAAGCTGAGCGGGGGTGGTGACGGGGGCACCAGGGAAAGGACAAGCAGGGCTGGCAGCCATGCCCTCCAGGCCAGCAGCACATCCCACCCAGGCCTTTACCTTTCATGGAGCTCAGCACCCCATCTCCACCTTAGGAGGGAAATGGATCAGAGCAGGGACAGCCCAGTCCCACTGGGGCACACCCAGGACAGCAGCTGCTAAACCAGTTCTGAAAAGGAGCCAGTCAAAGGTGGGGGGTGGGACAGAAAGAAGCACATCTTGGATCCTTGGGAAAAGGGAGCAGTGTGCCCTCTATGGCTCAGCCACCCCTGCCAGCCACAGGGGAAAATTCAAGATTCCAAATTCAGTACCGAGCCCAGCTTGCCCTCACCATGAAGCTGCAGAATGGCAGAGGCCAGTTCCATCCACCTGCAGCATGCTGGGATTTCATGGCCTTCATGAGCACATTAAACAGAATGGCTGAGCCCCTACCTTGAGCATCTCCCTTTTTGCAGCTCCTCTTTCACACCTTAATCCCATTTCTATCCAAGCTGCTGGATTGCAGGTGAAATACAATTTAACTGAGCTCTTAGCTGAAAACATCAACATAATGTAAAAGCTTCTGTTCTGACTGATGACATGATTTTAGTCACATAAAACCAGTTAAGAAATTTCAGAAAAAAGTTCAAAACAACTACAACATGTGGCCTTGACATAGTACTTTGTAGCATCAGAAGCCTCAGGAGAGGATCTTTAAAGAGTGGAAAGTGATTGGAGATGTCTGAAAAGGAAATGCTCCTTTCTTCCTCTGACAGATGATCCCAGCAGCACTGAACCAGGACATTGCTAGAGATGGAAGGAATTATTTTGTACCAGATGAAGCAAATCTTAGTGTGAGAAAAGCTCAAAAACTTAAAAGGATTTTGCATTCAGCTGTTAACAAAAGTAATGCTGGCAATGTAAAATAACTTGCTGTAGTGAGAACTAATTTACATTCTAAATAGGGCTAAAAATGTGGAGACTGAAGTGATAAATATTAGGCAACATCTTTCTGGATTGACTAGCAATTCAGAAAAGGATATTTCAGCCAGTCTAAACAGCTGTTTCAAAAGGTGAGCTCTGTATGTCCTGCATCAAAAATCCACAGAAAATTTATGGTTTCTTGTACTGATTCATCCTTGAAGCATTTAATTTGACACACTGGTTTGTAGCAGTCAGACCTTATTTGAAATACAGTAATGCTTTAAATAACATTTTAGAATTTGTACTCTGCTTATGCAAAAAAAATTCAGTAACTGAGGTGCATTTACTTAACGTACCGTCAAACTCACAATTTGCAGAGGAGTCAGACTATGTGTTCACATGTCCTACTCTCCTTTACCTTAAGTAAACCTTATGTAGCTAGGAACCTAAATTAGCACTTTGTTTCTTGGTTAGTCAAATGATAGGAGTGATTTTATATCCCTGTACTGCCGAAAGCTGCAAGTGATTAATTCTCTGATTCATTGCCTGGTAAAACATGGGTTGTGACAGTTCCCAGAACACATCTATGTCTATTTTAGGAGTAACAAGAGCATATATGAAAAATGTATGGAGATGTAGAAGCATGGATAAGGAGCAGCAACCACTGACTGGACCATCAGCCACAATCCCGAACATGTCAAGACCCTTAAATCTGAGCATGTGGGGGAAGGAAAATGGCTGTGCTGGTGTCGAGTGGTGTCCAGAGCTGGGGGCTGAGGCAGCTTCCGTAAATTCACCTCCTGTTTATCCCACTCCTTGTTTATTTTCGGAGCCTGCTTGGCTTGTGGCTGTGAGCGAGGATGTTAAAAAGAAGCTGCCAGGCTCAGTGAGGTTTTCCTAGCTGGCCCATGAGGAGGACAATCAGAATAACAAGGGGAAAGGGGAGAGCTGTAGAGACCTGCACCTCTTGGTTCACTGGGCACACCTTGAGCCAAGGGGCTACAGGGCAGGACAAGTCACAATTTTGAAGGCTCAGCTGGAGGCAGAAAATGGTGCTCTTCTTTTCCAGGCCACTGTGCTACCGGCAAAGAGTGATTCCTGCTTTTTGATCTTGGAAAGAGAAGATGAAACAGTGACTCAACCAGCTTAGGCGCTCCAAATAATGCCATCAGCACAAGGTGAGTCATGAACAGGTGATGGCTGATGATTGCCTGTCCCCAAAACATCCAAAGACTGCAAATCAAGGAATGAATCTTTCCTCTGATTTTAAAGAACCATTTGTATCTTTTTTTCTGTTTTCCTACAGGTTGGACTATCTTCTGTTATCGTTCTCTGTGATGTTTTTTAAGTTCTAAGCATGTGTCTGAGCACACACAGGCTCTATGAAAAAGACATCTGTCACCATTCCTTAAACATATAAGCTATGCAATTCCTGCTTCCCAAATTGCCAGGCATCTGGCAGGGAAAAGATCTGGCAAAGGCCATGCTGTACTCTGCAGGAGGAAGTGAAATCACCTAAATACTACAGGATCAAAAAGCAAGTAAATTGAGAGAGGTCACATCAACCATATCATATTCAATGCATAGAGACCCATGAGTCTAAATTTGCTTCAAGTATTCTTGGGTAAACAAGTTTGGGTTTGATGTTAAGAATGTTTAATTCATTTTATCAATGGAAAAGTGTCTCCTCTAGAGATTAGTGGTTTACAGATCTGTCTTCATGCTCTGTTACTTTCACTACATGGTTATTGACATCATCATATTCATTTGATGTCTTAGCTAAGGGACAGATCTCCCCAGTTTCCACTTAATTCACTGATTTTCAGGCAATTGCAATTGTGACTGTTACTTGCTCAAATTAATTATTATAATATCTGAACTTTGTGATACATTTGTCTAATTTTCAATTATTTTATAGATTAAGATGTAATTGAAAAAATAGTAGTTACTTCCAGAGATATTTTTCACAATTTTGAATTGTCTTAAACTTCTAGGGAAAGATCAGCAGAGCAAGAGAGGCTGGGTTCAAAGCTTTTGCATCTTCTAAGAACAGTCTCAAGCACCTGCAGAGCTGTTCAGAGCTACCACCACCCATCAGCCTTGCTGAGCCTTGTCACCAGTAGAGCTCAAAACAGATTTTCTGAAAACTTCCAGGGAACTTCAGCACAAATCCTGTTCATTTTGCCAGAACAAATGAAGTGTAGAATATATTAAGTGGGCTTGTTTCACCTTAATAAAATTATGAGAAGGGGAAAGTTTATTTGAGAAATAAACACGACTACAAGACACAAAAAGTTCATTATTTGTAAAGGGGGGTTTCTTTTTTTAACGCAGATGTGGCTGTAACTGTGTTTGAGACCTTTGGCTGAATTAATTATACTTTTAAATCATCCCAGATAACAAAGCTACAAACAAAGAACCCTTTTTGTATCAGACAAAGATGTGCCACCTTTCTCAGTTCTGTGAACCAATCCACTACCAAACATGGTGCCAAATACTGAAGTGGAATATGAAACTGGGAGATACTCAGGAGGACCTGCAAGACTAGCCAAGAATGGAAGAGTGCTTGGGAAGGCATGAAGAAAAGCTGGAGATATTGTGAGGGTCTGAATTATTTTAATGGGTAGAGACCTCCTGAAAGTGACAATTTTCCATAGGGTGCTGAACACAAGAGATCTCTAGGGAGGGAGATCAATTTGAGGAGCTGGAAGTGTGATATGTCAAATCACACATATTCGGGAAGACAAAATGCCATCACCCTGAACATTTCCACCTTCCTCCTTCCCTCCCTTTTATATACTGAGCATGATGTCAGATGGTCTGAAATGTCCTTTGGTCAACTGGGATCACTTGTCCTGGCTGTGTCACCTACCAATTCCCCGAACACCCCCAACTTCCTTCACCAGCCCAACAGTAGGGAAAATAGGTCTTGGCTCTGTGCAATCCCTGCTCAGCAGTAACAAAAACATTTCATTATTATCACCCCTGTGTTCAGCACAAATCCAAACCACAGCCCCATTCCAGCCACTGGGAATAAGATTAACCCTACCCCAGGCAAGACCATCAGTGCTGATTTCACAGAATAAAACACCAAGTTTATTAGAGGGATGAAACACCTCTGCTGTGAGGAAATGCTGAGAGAATTTGGATTTTTTCATCCTGGAGAAGAGAAGGCTTTGGGGTGACCTCATTGTGGCGTTGCAGTGCCTGAAGGGAACTCACAGGAAAGATGGAGAGAGACTCTTGACAGGGGCCTGGAGTGACAGGACAAGGGGCAATGGCTTCACACTGACAGAGAGCAGGGTTAGATTGGATATTGGGAAGAAATTCTTCCACTGGCCCAGGTTTCTCAGAGCCCCATCCAGCCTGGCCTTGAACACTTCCAGGGATGGGGCAGCCACAGCTGCTCTGGGTAACCTGTGCCAGGGCCTCATCACCCTCAGGAACAATTTCTTCCTGATATCCCACCTAAACCTGCTCTGTGTCAGTGTGAAGCCATTCCCCCTTGTCCTGTCACTCCAGTTCCTGATGAAAAGTCCCTTTTCAGCTTCCTTGGAGTCTCCTTCAGATACTAGAAGGCTGCTCTAAGGTCTCTGCACAGTGGCCTTGCTACCCAAGTGTAGGCAGCACTCAACACCTGCAAGACATCAGTACAAGACTGGTTTGTAAAGAAGCTTGGAAATTTCTACATTTCCTACATTTCTCCAGGGGAAAAAAAAAAAAAAGGAAAAAAAAAAAGGGGCCCTGTTTTCCAAGAAGCTTTAAACACAGATAATTAATCTTTAGAGAAATCCATAGCATTAATATCGGGGAAAAATAAAAATCACATCATTCATTTGATCAGGGTGTTGTTCTTGCCTTCTCCATCTCCTGCTTTCTCCTGTTGTGTATCCGAGCAATACTTAACCTTAATTAGTACTGGCCTACTACTCTTAGTAGACCACAATATTTCTGAAGAACTCCAAGACACCTAATAATAATAATTGCATCTTCTTTGGGTAATGCTGCCTAATGTGAGGCAGACACCCTGGTTCAGGAGCAGCACGGTGACCCTCCTCAGGTCACTCGTTTCATCTGCACACAACATCAATGTGAAGGACAGCAGAAATGGCGTTTATTGCTGAAGAATTTGACACTTTATAACCTAGGTTCACAGTGTCACTCCCATCTGCTTTCATCACAGCTAGGTGCTATTGGCTAATTACGGGGCAATTACCTTACCCTATGGAGGAGGGGGGTGGCCATCTTTCCGTTACATCCCAATATCTTCCGAGCGCTGGGCCCTAGCTGCCCACAGGGTAAGATGCAACTCAAAATGAAACTTTTTCAAGTGTGTGGTCACCATCCTTTTCATTCAAGCAGAACTTTCTCATTACAACTCCTTTTTTATTTCACCTGTGTTACACAATAGCTAGGAGAACAAACATTTAACTGGGACACAAGAGGATTAGAAGCTGAGCCCCTGTGCCATTACAGAAAACTGCAACCCCTCAGCATTCTGCTCTCAGAGTTTGCCACCATTAAATCACAACCAAGATTGCTCTTTGGATTCCTGAGATTGGGACCTGCCAAAAAGGGAACTGAGGAGGTTTTTTTGGCTGCAGGAGGTGTAACCTCTCCTGCCTGTCTCCCAAGCAAACTTCACAAATGAACCATGTCCAGCCATATGTAAAGAAAGGCAGCATTTTGAGGGTGACAGTCTCTGAATCGAGCTGGTAATTGTGTCCCATTTTCAGTGGCAGATATCACACGGGCATTTTGTGCACTCCTGCGTTCTTGGTCCTGAGCCAAACAACTGCTGGGAAAAGGCAGATAACAATCATGGCCTGCTGGAGGCTGAGGTAGAATCTGGTACAAGTGCCTGGCAGCCTGGACATATTAAATGGGAAAATAAGCCATCACTAAGCTCCAAAGCGAGAAAACAATTCCCATAAGGCCTAATAAAAGACGAAGAAATTAAAGGTCTACCAGAACAAATGAATTAGATAATGAAACTGTGGAACTAGATCAAAACTAGGAGGGGGAGGAGGGAGAAAAGAGAAGAACTGAGATAAAATAACAGCTGTGGGATGCAAATCAGACAGAATATCCTCAGTCAGGCCCAGAATGAGACAGCATCTGGCATAAGGAGGGAGAAGGGCAGTGGGAAACCAGAAGAAAAGGAATGCAGAATTTGGGAAAGCTGGCTAGATGACGTTGCACAGCAGAATACCCTGCACAGACAGAGTCAGGCTCCAATGCACACAGCCTATTTGGGATGCAGAAATCCAAATTTTCCACCAGAGGAGAAAGACAGGGAAGAGAAAGGCAAGGAACTAATGAGATGTGAATCAACCAGACAACACTGGGAAAGAAGGCTGGATATGTTGTTAATAATCTGTGGGATAATGTTTACGCCCAGAAGGATGAAAGTTTTACAGTGAATTACAGCAAACATGGCACACTGTAAATAGGGACAGATTTACTTCAGTGTCGAATTTGTAGTTGCAGAGTCTTTAAGCCTGATTCCTTTCCCATTAGCCAGCTTTGGGTAATTGCCATTACCATTTCCCAGTTTTGTGGGAAAGCATCCAGGATCTGTTGCACTCAGAAGGTGTGTCCCTGATGACGGGTCGAGTCACAGGCGACATGTTCAGGAATTATTTACCAAAGAGAGATGTAGTCCCAGTTTCTTGAAGATACTCAGGTACCTCTTCATCACAGGACCTCTTTCACAGGCTAGGCTTTCTAAATCCCATGAACATTTTAGGGAAATTAAGGCTGGGAGTGGTTAAGTATTTTTGACCAGGACTTTGGTCAACAAACTACCTAAATCCCATTTAAAGTTCTAATGCAAGGGTTTACTGTAAGGGTTTACTGACATGTTCTGATTTTCTAACACTGGTAAGATAGATTGAACTTTTACACTTCTGCAAGGAGTTATCTGTGTCCAGGATGAGCCAGAATAATCTTTAAACAGGATTTCCTAAGTCAATGAAGCTAACACAGTCACAGCATAACAGCTGGCATCATCCTTTCCCTTTCTCTCTAATTTCTCTCTGCCTGTTTTTGTCCAAAATCATCTGAAGAACAGAAGAAGATACTGGGAGAGAGGCATCCTGTCCTATCACAGCAGAAATCAGATGATTGGCCTGAGATCATAAATGAGAAACTGTTGTAGTGAAAATTTTAAAAAGGTAAAATTCAAAGTCTGTAGCAAATATGGGTTTATTTTATTTTGATCCATTTATCCCAGTAATATTTATCTGAAGAATCATATGGTTTATATTCCTTGTTTCAAATAAAGTTATTTATTTGAATCAAACACTACTCAAAAATGAACGTGGAATATGATTTTATGTTTAATGCTAGAATTTTATTCTTCCATAGACTGAAAATTGAAAGATCCAGCTAAAAGGATCAAAAGAAAAGAGAAAAATGAAGCAGCTGGTGGAAGAGGACAAAGTCTCTGCCTCAAGGGGTAAAGGCTGTGGCCTTCAGGAGACAAAATGAGCATTTAAATGAGAATTTAAAGCTGCAGAGCACTAAATCACTTTACTCCCAAAGCTATCATATCAAACAAACGATACCTGTCATGTTACAGAATAAGATGTTTTGCAAAATTAACAATTGGGCAATGGGCATAGGTGGTACTGATTAATAATTTGTATCTGTACTTTACTTGTCCTTTGTTATCAGCCTGTAAAAATGTTGAATGTCAATAACCTGTATCACAGGCTGGGAAAAAAAAAGATAAAATTAATATAAAAATGGGTATAATGAAGAGCACAGTGTGTACACTGAGTAAATGGGATCTCAGCACTGAGGTCTGAGATCCCACCATTTTCCCACACATACATTGTCATTTCAGCATCAGACTGTTGCAGTTTCCTCTTACATTTGACACATCACAGCCTGGATATACGAGCTAAAATCCCACTTACATGTCTTACATATGGAAAGAGAATATTCCAAATGTCAGGGGATAAATATGTAGATATAGATGTATAATTATTATTATATATATATGTATATATACACCCTAAATTGTTCTTTTTTTGGTAGCAGTTCATGTCTCACCATCATCTTTCTGTGGCATGAGACACAGTGTATATTCTCTTTGATGTAGTGTTGGAGACAAGACCTGTGCAATCTTCACTTCTTCATCTGCCACTGTCTCCTTGCAGGATCTTGTCACATATTCTCCTTGGTGCCTCAGCTTGTCAATCCAAAGAAATCAGTGGGATGAGAAAATGTGCAACAAACACAACAGAGGCATTTCAGAGGTAAAGAGAGAAGGTTTACTCATGAGCTGGGGCAGTCCAGCATTAAATAGAAAGTTCTGCAACAGAATATCTTACAGAACAGGGGTGTAAAAGGTGCAGTAAATAAATGTGTGGTGGAAAACCTGATTAGGAAGGACACATAGTAAATAAGTATATGTGTGGTGCAAAACTTACTAAGGAAGGATGCTTAGTAAGTTATTAAGGGATTTGGCTAATATGTCCTCCCTCATCAAGAAGAAATTCTGCTACCACATCAAAGTACTTAAGCGCTATCCTGAAGGAAGAGGTGGATTCTCTCAATTATCTGTTATGCTTATTTCCTTTTCCTTCATGTGGAAATTTGCCTTCCTTCCACCTGAGAGCTTCCTGAGAGCTGTGAACTTGAATCAGAGCAAAACCTGTTGCAAAGAGCACAGTCTTCCCAGTAGAAAAGCACCAGCATATTTTGTGCAATCACATATCCTAAATATTATTTACTGTTAAAGCTCTGAAAAACCTGTCTCTGACTGAAAGAAGAGAACCACCTTTACCATGCCAAAACTGCAAGAGACTGCAGGGATAAATATTCTCTTTTTTGTTTTGTTTTGGTTTTGGTTTTGTTTTGGGAGTCCCTATAATTTAATGAATATATCCTTTCCCTCCCACCTTTGACCACCCTTACTTCAGCATCGAGTCCTAGTGAAGATTTAAAGTGTAACAACATCACAAAAAGAAAGTCTGGGGTGGGAGAAGGAGAAAAGGCAGGTGTGGCTTGATGAATGTTGAGGAAAGAGGCTTTCAGGACACAGAGACTC